TCTCTCTCAAAATACGCAAATGGCTTCAAATCACCACACATCACTTCTGTCTATAAGCGAGCTGCACGCTGCACAGTTGACACAGGAATTGTCACTTGCACAATCGAGGAAGTGTTGCATCGTCAAATTGCGTTTCTTTTTAATTCTTGCCAGTGTTTAACCATTCAGCTCATGCACACTCGCAGCGCACATACATAACGCCAGATTCACATTACTCCATTTGCGGTACGTATGCGGTGCGTATTTTTTCCACGCTCATGTTAACGGATTAAAGCGTTCACACTGCACACGGTTTTCGGTCTGGCAATGTGTTGCAGGAGCGGTGCGTCTGCAGCAGTGCAGAGATCGTTTCCGCTGCATGCGCTGAATTAAAGTAACAGCGCATTATTTGCGGTAAATATGAACATGGATTGACACAAAAATTTAGTAATTACACCATAAATGCATATTATTAAAGTCTACTGTGTTTCACAGTCAACACATGTTTTTTTGGCTAGGTTTAAAGGAAAAGAGCACTTTTAGATAATCAAGGCAATAATAGATGGCACTCGTGGAGGTAGAAAAACAAAGTTCTTGGATGAACCGTAGGATTGCTTGAAACAAAGATTTAAATGCAAAAGGAAAGGCAGTAGAGCTGACTATTTCTGTCAATGGTAAGTTTGTGATAACGTAAGAAAAGTAGTTTAAATGTTTTGCCACTTGCTTGAGCAACTTAATATATCAACCTAGAAGTAAATGCAAAAGTAAAAAGCATTGAATAATGTGTTGCTTATATTTATTTTTGTTTAAACATGTCTGTGAAAGATTGTATTACTGTCCTGTGTAAAAAAAGAATTGCAATGCTGAAAAAGCATTTTCAGTGACAATGTTTGGATTTGAAATCAAAATAATGGATAAATGTTGTGTTTGTGGTAAATGGCCACGGATCAGTAGCAGACTCCTGTGTGAAAGCACAGTCCGTGCTGCTTCTCCTCTCACAAGAGTCACCTAAGAGGGGGAATTCCCCCCATTTTCAAAAATGAAATTCAGGCCCTGAATAAATGTCTAAAAATCCTATTTGGAGTATCACTATAAATAGTTATAAATTTTTAGTCTAAAAATCCTGTTTGGAGTATCACTATAAATAGTTATAAATTTTTAAAAAAGAAGGCTTTAAAAAGATTGGTATCGGCAGATACTGCTTTCTGTGATCGGCCTCAAAAATCCTAATCGGAGCACCCCTATTTACAATGTTTTATTTACCGGTATTTCATATGTATATTGCTGAATAAAATTATGAAATGTGATTTGTACATGTTTTTCCTCTTATAATCAGAGGAAATATAAATATAATTTTTTCAGAAAACAGTTCATCATAAATATTTTACACTTTTTATTGTTCAACTCACCCTTCAGTAGGTCTTCTTCACCCATTGGTTGTACAGCTTCCTGCACTGCAGCTTCTGTCTCTTGAGACACAGGATCTAAGCTTGCTAGGGCTTGCTCAGGACATACAGAAGAAACTATAATGTCATCCTCGGCAAGAGCATTTGGGACATGTAAGGCACCATCTAGATGGTCGGTGTGGACCGAAACACCCAACAGATCTTCTGCATTGACTGCCAGGCTTTCCTCAGAGATCCCAAACTCATTTGACGAAGCGAATATGCCTGAGGGATCCACCAAGACATGTTGATCTCCCGATTCATCTGTGTTTACAAAAACTACACCCGCATCCTCTTCTGAAAGGACTACTGCTGCTGTGCCCTGCATGACCTCACTGTTTGAGGTCATTTCCTGTCTGGGATCCTGAGAGGAGTCATCTGGGAGATTCACTTTCTCCATATCTGCGGGAATCCGCAGAACTTCCTCCTCTGATGCCTGAGCTTCCCAAACGGGTTCGTTCTTCTGGTTCCCTTGAACGTTCTCCATCATCTCAAAGCTAGAACCTAAAAGAACCTCTAGATCTTCTAAGGTGTCCTCACTAGTGGCTGTGGAAGATCCAGGTTCTGGACCAAGCTCATTTTGTAAGACGCTGGAAGAATTTAGTTTCTGTCCGTCAAACTCACTTTCTTCACTTGAAAGAATTGTCTTTTCTACAGGCAACAGCTCTCGATTTTCTTCATGCCGGTGTAAAACGCTCTCATCTTCAGCAACCGTAGTCCTTGAGGTTGTATCACTAAGTTCTTCCTTCGGTTGCTCGCCATCTGTTTCAAAGTATGGCATTTCTAGACTCTCCTGAAACTCCTCATCAGTGTCTTCTTGATCACAGGTTCCTGAAGAATCAAGATCTCCACTACCTTCCACATTACACGTGATCTTCTCACAAATGCCTCCCTCTAGCTGGGTTCCAGTGTCATCGGTTTTATCCCAAACGTCTTCACAAGCATGCATTTCATTTTCCACCAAATTTTGTCGTGAGCAATCCAGAGGTGTATCTCCATCAGGGTTTAGATCCAGTGGTTTCTTGCTTTCTTCTCGAACCTCCTCTGGATCTATGAGATCTCCGCACTCATCCTCTTCTTCATCATCAGTCTCTGCACCCTGTGAACAAGATTCAACATCCAAGCTTTCCGCCGTGTCCAAAGACTGAGTGATTCCCATATCTCCTGCCTCAACGATGGGGCTACATTCAGATAGCTCTTTCTCCTCCACAAAGTTGTGTCCTTTTCCCTGATTTTCCTCCTCAGGTCCCTCAGCACAAACCGGTGTTTCACAGATTAAGTCGTCCGCTTTATCAGCTTCCTCTTTCTGTTGTCCGCAGGAAGAGGTTCTGTTGACTATGCTCTCAGAACCGCTCTGCAAACCATCACTACTATCTCCAACGTCACCGGTACTAACTAGACCATTACCTGAATGCTTTTCTTGCTCTCTACAATCAGTCTCAATGTTTTCACAAGCACACGCCCGCTGATCTGCGCTATTGCCATTGAATAGGAGAGCCGGGTCAGTTTCACAGCTGAGCGAGGGACCTCCGTCACCCTCCCTGCTTTGCGAGGGATCCAGGCGGTCATTACGTTCTCCTTTGTTTTCCTCTGTGCTAAAAGGAGTGAACCCTCGTTCTCTCGTCTCAAGGGAGTCGAGCCGTGCCTCTTCACAACAGCAATCTCTGGTCTCCAGGCCGTCATCACATTCTTGGGAAATGTGCAGAGAGTCTGAGCTCTGCTGAAACACAACTCCTCCCTGAACACGAACACAGAAAAACAGCTTTGAGTTTTCTCTCCTTCAAGCAATTCTCTAACTCTACAGTTATGTCAATGCAATGAATAGCAGATCTACAGCTGTTATGGTGGAGGATGAAATCTGAAGGATATTTTTTGGCAAACAAGTTCCCTTCTGTTGACTGCATAATAGTATGTATTCATTTAGCAGACATTTCTAAAATTCAAAGCGACTTGCGAAGAGAAGACGACAACACAGTGATTCATCCTAAAGAGGCAGTAACATGAGATGAGAAGTACAATGCCTCAAGCTGTTCAGAGAAATGTATATATATATATATATACATACACACACACACACACACACACACACACACACACACACACACACACACACGTAGTATATGTATGTGTGTGTGTAAATAAAACGTGTGTGTATAAATAAAACTAAATATTTTAGTATGTTAAATATTAATAAATATTTTTGTATTCATATTATTATAATATGATATTACATACACTACCATTCAGAAGTAGTAAGTACAATATTTTAAAGAAATTAATACTTTTATTCATCAAGGCCACATCAAATTGATCAAAAGTTACAGTAAAGACGCTTATAACATTACAAGAGTATGAATTTCTGTATTCATCAAAGAATAATGACCAAAATGCATTATGGTTTCCCCTAAAATATGAAGCAGAAAATATTATGCTATTTAATATTTTAAAGCATGATGATAAGAATTGTTTCTTAAGAATAAGAAATGTTGGTAACACTTTACAATAAGGTTAATTAGTTAACATTAGTTAACTACTTTAGTTAAAATGAACTAAGCATGAACAACACTTCTACATAATTTATTAATCTTAGCTAATGTTAATTTCAACATTTACTAATGCATTACTAAAATCAAAAGTTGTGCTTGTTAACATTAGTTAATGCACTGTGAATTAACATGAACTAACAATGAACGACTGTACTTCCATTAACTAACATTAACAAAGATTAATAAATACTGTAATAAATGTATTGTTCATTGTTTGTTCATGTTAGTCAATACATTAACTAACATTAACTAATGGAACCTTATTGTAAAGTGTAACCGAATTATAGGATAGGATATTAGAATGATTTCTAAAGGATCATGTGACACTAAAAACTGGCTGCTGAATAAACTGGAAAATAAAAACATTATTCATCACCATTATTTTGTCATAGGTTACATATATAATAATAAAACCATTAAAACCACTGAATTCTACCTAAATGTTGCATTTATTGAACTGAGACAAATATATATATATATCTTTATTTTAATTTTTTTGTCTATTTGATCACTTTAAAAGGAAATTAAATTACAGATTAAACCACATGGTTAAAACTAATGTTTCCCTTACAGTGCGTCTTTGTCAATATATTATTATTATTATCATTATTCTTCATGTTTACACATGCTGTCCTCGTCATGCTGAATAACTCAACTCTGGAGAAGTTCATTACACTCAAAAAACTAAAAAAAAAGCAAAAACAAACAATGAGCAAGAGACAGAGTTAAACAGGTAGAAAGGGACGTTTTCTCCACATTTAGACAAACACACCTGACTCACCTTCTCTTGACAATGGCTAAGGATCAGTCTGTACAGTTCCAGGATGTCGGCCTGTGGGTTGGGTGGTGCGCAGCCTGGCTTGGTGCCCACAGAGAGGGTGTAGGTGTTCAGAGACGGGTGGTGCTGCACCACACGACTGCCCGAGGAGGAGAGCTGTCTGAGCGTCTCAACGCCAATGTCTGTATCCAAACCCTCCCTAAACCAAAACAAGCCACCCGATGAACAGGATATGCTCAAACGGTTCCATTCCAGCTTTAAACAAAATAACACCCTGCTGTCATCAAGACACTCAATGTACTGTAATTAAAGTTCTTATGGATGCACTGCTTTGTTCTATATGTTCAAGAGGCAGTGGAGAATGATCCAAATGTACAAATGGAATTATCATGCAGCTCAATGTATATTTTCTACTCTTTTGCCAACTCGGGAGTGTTAATAATAAGAGGTAATGGTTCAAATCTGGGCCTAGAGCATTGACTAATACTGGGTGGAGTGATTTTTGTCACAGGAAAGCAACGGTCACTGCTGTCTGAAGCAGCATGCAGCAGATGAAAGAATAATACACAATTAGATCTCTTTAATGTCTGAGCAATGAGATTAAATCGAGAGCTAATGGAGACTTTCTGATTCTCAGATGTTTCTTGTGTGGAGAAAAAGCACTAATAATGTTTCTCAATTAGATTTTAAGATGATTTTAGATGTCTCGAACAATACAACGGTGGCCAGAATGATTAGAACTAGTATTTTGACCAGCTAAAAATGGTTTAAAGTCAGTTATTTCTATCTTTTGCTGTAGTGTGTCAGTACGAAATATCAGTTTACATTTCCAAACATTTATTTTGCCATTAATTGTAATAATCCAGTGAGATTTTTGTTTGCACAACAGCCAGTGCTCCACACAGATATCTGATCTGATCATCATCCAGTCTGTCTGGAATGACATGAAGAAACAGAACAAACTGATACAGACTAAATCCAGGAGAGCTGTGGCAGCATCTCCAAGATGCTTCACGAGACCTGTGTTGATGTGAATAAGAGTGTGTATGAAAGCGCATCACTCACCGGCTGAAGAGCTCCAGCAGAGCCGTATGTCCTCGACTCTGGGCGATGACCACCGGTGTGGAGCCCTGTTTATTGCACAGGCTGAGGGCCTCTCGGGCCTAAACCAAAACAAGCCACCCGATGAACAGGATATGCTCAAACGGTTCCATTCCAGCTTTAAACAAAATAACACCCTGCTGTCATCAAGACACTCAATGTACTGTAATTAAAGTTCTTATGGATGCACTGCTTTGTTCTATATGTTCAAGAGGCAGTGGAGAATGATCCAAATGTACAAATGGAATTATCATGCAGCTCAATGTATATTTTCTACTCTTTTGCCAACTCGGGAGTGTTAATAATAAGAGGTAATGGTTCAAATCTGGGCCTAGAGCATTGACTAATACTGGGTGGAGTGATTTTTGTCACAGGAAAGCAACGGTCACTGCTGTCTGAAGCAGCATGCAGCAGATGAAAGAATATTACACAATTAGATCTCTTTAATGTCTGAGCAATGAGATTAAATCGAGAGCTAATGGAGACTTTCTGATTCTCAGATGTTTCTTGTGTGGAGAAAAAGCACTAATAATGTTTCTCAATTAGATTTTAAGATGATTTTAGATGTCTCGAACAATACAACGGTGGCCAGAATGATTAGAACTAGTATTTTGACCAGCTAAAAATGGTTTAAAGTCAGTTATTTCTATCTTTTGCTGTAGTGTGTCAGTACGAAATATCAGTTTACATTTCCAAACATTTATTTTGCCATTAATTGTAATAATCCAGTGAGATTTTTGTTTGCACAACAGCCAGTGCTCCACACAGATATCTGATCTGATCATCATCCAGTCTGTCTGGAATGACATGAAGAAACAGAACAAACTGATACAGACTAAATCCAGGAGAGCTGTGGCAGCATCTCCAAGATGCTTCACGAGACCTGTGTTGATGTGAATAAGAGTGTGTATGAAAGCGCATCACTCACCGGCTGAAGAGCTCCAGCAGAGCCGTATGTCCTCGACTCTGGGCGATGACCACCGGTGTGGAGCCCTGTTTATTGCACAGGCTGAGGGCCTCTCGGGCCCCTGGCTGCTTGAGGAGAAACCTGGCCACTTTGAGGAGCCCGCGGCGGGCTGCGAAGTGAAGGAGGGTCTCTTGAGGTTCCAGTCCTGAAAGAGAGAAATGAGAGTGTTCAAAGAGGCAAATGGAGCGATGCAAACTTGGCCTAAATCATTACCTGTCCGGACTGACTGACAATCCAGAAATTTACAAGTACTTTTGTATTTTAATATATTTTAGACAGCTGTGCTGCTTAATATTTTTGTGGAAACTGTTCATCTTTTTTTTCAAGATTTCAGGATGATCAACAGAAAGTTCAAAACAACATTGTTTATTTGAAATATAAATCTTTTGTAACATTATAATGACTTTACTGTCATTATTGATCAATTTATTGCATCATTGCTGAACAAAAGTATTAATAAAAAAAAATAATAATAATAAATTAAATTAAATTAACTTACTGACCCAACAATTTTGACCGGTACAGAATGTGTGTATGAATTTTTTTTTCAATATGTCCTTGTATTTGGACATTGCATTGCATAACAAAATATCACACCAGGTTATATTCGTTTGAAAGAAAAAGAGCACAAGCACAATTTTCAAACATAATAATTCACCACACAAGTTTGTTAGACAAGGGCAAAGTATTATGATTCAGCAAAGAAGAACCAGCCCAAAAATAATGTCAATTAATTAAATATGTAAAAAGATTTGCCACCTGTAATTAACGTCACACTGTAACTGACCTGTCAACCATCACGTGACCATTATGAACTCAAAGGAACTGCTCTGATTACTTGGAAGCTGATCTGCAATGTCATTTAGGGACGTTTATTTGGCTGCAGATACGAGCTCTGGAATATCATCCAGTACATTCTCTTCTAAACTAATGATACCCAAAAAAAGAATGAACTTTTTATTTTTTGAAAAAGCAGTCACAGGCCAAGAATAACTGGAGATAGTTACACAAAAATATTATTAGCTCTCCAAAATCTAGCAGCTCATATTTTTACATTACAATACATAAGATATTAAATTAAAAATGTTAAATTAAATGTGTTAATTAATTTTTTTAATTAATTTTGTAAAGAATGTTAGAAATAAATAAATCAAGCATGATCCTGATGACCTACACTAATGCTATAACGCCCCCTAAAGGATCAACCACAGCATAACTACAGTTTAGAAAATCCTCCAGTTTGATAACATATAAAGACCTATTGAACAATGCAAAAAACATCTCACCATTGTGTCAAACAGACAACTTAATAAAGTAGATGTACTTAACTTCTGAAATCAAATGGACCACATTAAAGAACAACTACAGAATGATGCAACAGACGATTACTTGAACCTACAAGCCTATTCGAACCCACAACCTTTTGATTTCCAGCCCAGATCAAAGCACTAGCCTCCACCGAGCTGCACTCACGTGTGCTATTCCCCAGCAGGCTCCAGCCAGGGGGTAGCATGATATGTTTGAGGGCCAGGGACAGACTCTGGTCCAGCTTTTCGCACTCCTGCAGAGGGATCTGATGTTCGTCCAGTAGCAGAGCCTCCTCCAGCAGATTCGTCTGCCCCACCGCGCTCACCAGGAACTGGGCCATGTCGAAGGCCAGGTCCTGCACGAAGTGTAGGTGATCGGTAGCCAGAGTATGAATGTTACCGTCCGGTCCCGCTGAGCACAGTGTGACCAGCACCGACTCACAGCAGTTATGAGCTGCACAGAGAGGAAAAGATCATGACAGCAGTCAAACACATTCAACAGACCAATTTCAGTGATTGCAAACAGTGATGACATTTTTTGTGGGCAGAGCCTATCTGGTGGCAGAAAATTACAGTTTTAACGTAGCAGTCTATGCAAGCCATGGAATAAAAAAGGACATTTTTATATTATATCTGATCATTCTGGTAAGAAAAATCAACTCGTCATTCTCTCTTTTACCTTCGGCTCAGAATCATAAGTTTATAATACCACACTTCTGGCTTTTTTTCCTCAGAATTGACAAACTCACAATTGTTGAGTTGAATGAAGTTATAAAGTTCGAACTAGGAGATAAACTTGCATTTGCAAGAAAAAAAAAAGTCAGAATTGTGATGCTTTAACTGTAGGGCTAATACAATATGTCCCATATGTGAATATTATATAGACCTATTGTTTAAATCTAATTTATGCTTTAAAGTAGGGTAATCATAGTTTTTTTTTTTTTTTTACACAATTTATTGTTTAAATGAAAGTATTTAGTCAGCTAGAGTTGCAATATCTCATTCCTGGCAGATACAAAAACAACAAGTCCTTATTGCAATTGTACCTCATCATATGTGAATATTATATAGACCTATTGTTTAAATCTAATTTATGCTTTAAAGTAGGGTAATCATAGCAGGTTTCATCCATAGTCTGTCGGTTTAAACGTCTGCGTTTAGCTTCAAATTTTCAGATTCTGACATCCGAAGGCACAACAATTCATTTTTTTTCTCTAATTCCGTGGATTTTGCCCGCTTCCCTCCACTTGTTCCCAGTGTTTTTCTGCCACCACAATGCGCACGCATCTGCATGTGATGTAACCGTGACGTCTACTCCAAATTGGTCTATACAGTAAACAATGCTGATGACTAATAAAGGGAAATGTCAAAAGTTAATGGACGGGATTGCCGTTGTCAGATATTTAAGCTATTTAGCTGAACTGTGCTTTGTAATAAAAAAAATATATTAAATTAAAAATAAATACACCAATTAATAATTTATTTAAAATAAAATATAAAATTAAATGACAAATAAAACAACCTCTTAAAATAGTTACTTTTAAAATAAAATTAAAAATATATTTTAGACAGCTGTGCTGCTTAATATTTTTGTGGAAACTGTTCATCTTTTTTTTCAAGATTTCAGGATGATCAACAGAAAGTTCAAAACAACATTGTTTATTTGAAATATAAATCTTTTGTAACATTATAATGACTTTACTGTCATTATTGATCAATTTATTGCATCATTGCTGAACAAAAGTATTAATAAAAAAAAATAATAATAATAAATTAAATTAAATTAACTTACTGACCCAACAATTTTGACCGGTACAGAATGTGTGTATGAATTTTTTTTTCAATATGTCCTTGTATTTGGACATTGCATTGCATAACAAAATATCACACCAGGTTATATTCGTTTGAAAGAAAAAGAGCACAAGCACAATTTTCAAACATAATAATTCACCACACAAGTTTGTTAGACAAGGGCAAAGTATTATGATTCAGCAAAGAAGAACCAGCCCAAAAATAATGTCAATTAATTAAATATGTAAAAAGATTTGCCACCTGTAATTAACGTCACACTGTAACTGACCTGTCAACCATCACGTGACCATTATGAACTCAAAGGAACTGCTCTGATTACTTGGAAGCTGATCTGCAATGTCATTTAGGGACGTTTATTTGGCTGCAGATACGAGCTCTGGAATATCATCCAGTACATTCTCTTCTAAACTAATGATACCCAAAAAAAGAATGAACTTTTTATTTTTTGAAAAAGCAGTCACAGGCCAAGAATAACTGGAGATAGTTACACAAAAATATTATTAGCTCTCCAAAATCTAGCAGCTCATATTTTTACATTACAATACATAAGATATTAAATTAAAAATGTTAAATTAAATGTGTTAATTAATTTTTTTAATTAATTTTGTAAAGAATGTTAGAAATAAATAAATCAAGCATGATCCTGATGACCTACACTAATGCTATAACGCCCCCTAAAGGATCAACCACAGCATAACTACAGTTTAGAAAATCCTCCAGTTTGATAACATATAAAGACCTATTGAACAATGCAAAAAACATCTCACCATTGTGTCAAACAGACAACTTAATAAAGTAGATGTACTTAACTTCTGAAATCAAATGGACCACATTAAAGAACAACTACAGAATGATGCAACAGACGATTACTTGAACCTACAAGCCTATTCGAACCCACAACCTTTTGATTTCCAGCCCAGATCAAAGCACTAGCCTCCACCGAGCTGCACTCACGTGTGCTATTCCCCAGCAGGCTCCAGCCAGGGGGTAGCATGATATGTTTGAGGGCCAGGGACAGACTCTGGTCCAGCTTTTCGCACTCCTGCAGAGGGATCTGATGTTCGTCCAGTAGCAGAGCCTCCTCCAGCAGATTCGTCTGCCCCACCGCGCTCACCAGGAACTGGGCCATGTCGAAGGCCAGGTCCTGCACGAAGTGTAGGTGATCGGTAGCCAGAGTATGAATGTTACCGTCCGGTCCCGCTGAGCACAGTGTGACCAGCACCGACTCACAGCAGTTATGAGCTGCACAGAGAGGAAAAGATCATGACAGCAGTCAAACACATTCAACAGACCAATTTCAGTGATTGCAAACAGTGATGACATTTTTTGTGGGCAGAGCCTATCTGGTGGCAGAAAATTACAGTTTTAACGTAGCAGTCTATGCAAGCCATGGAATAAAAAAGGACATTTTTATATTATATCTGATCATTCTGGTAAGAAAAATCAACTCGTCATTCTCTCTTTTACCTTCGGCTCAGAATCATAAGTTTATAATACCACACTTCTGGCTTTTTTTCCTCAGAATTGACAAACTCACAATTGTTGAGTTGAATGAAGTTATAAAGTTCGAACTAGGAGATAAACTTGCATTTGCAAGAAAAAAAAAAGTCAGAATTGTGATGCTTTAACTGTAGGGCTAATACAATATGTCCCATATGTGAATATTATATAGACCTATTGTTTAAATCTAATTTATGCTTTAAAGTAGGGTAATCATAGCAGGTTTCATCCATAGTCTGTCGGTTTAAACGTCTGCGTTTAGCTTCAAATTTTCAGATTCTGACATCCGAAGGCACAACAATTCATTTTTTTTCTCTAATTCCGTGGATTTTGCCCGCTTCCCTCCACTTGTTCCCAGTGTTTTTCTGCCACCACAATGCGCACGCAGCTGCATGTGATGTAACCGTGACGTCTACTCCAAATTGGTCTATACAGTAAACAATGCTGATGACTAATAAAGGGAAATGTCAAAAGTTAATGGACGGGATTGCCGTTGTCAGATATTTAAGCTATTTAGCTGAACTGTGCTTTGTAATAAAAAAAAAATATTAAATTAAAAATAAATACACCAATTAATAATTTATTTAAAATAAAATATAAAATTAAATGACAAATAAAACAACCTCTTAAAATAGTTACTTTTAAAATAAAATTAAATATTTAAGCTATTGTAGTAAAATAAAATTATAAGGTTGTTGTAGTACTACTGTCAGTATAGGCATAGAATTCATGTCTGGCATCATCATTTATTTACTGTCAACTTTTTTTTTTTTTTTTTCAACATTTTTTGTTTTAATGAAAGGTTTAAAGTAGATTTACTTAAGCTACAAAACTTTGATGGTGTTTGACAGTATAAATGGAAAAAAAAACATGCAATGAATTAATTTAAGTCTAAGTCATGATTTATTCTCTAGTGATATGTGCTAGAGGAAAAAAAAAAGGGGGGGGGGGGGGGGAGGACCAACCCATATTTACATGTAGAAAGCATTTATAAGAATCCCAAATGTCCTCCTAGTGGTCTGGACTTCCGTTGTTTGTATCCCACTCTCTAAAACAGTTCCTCAATTAACATTCATTCCAACTGACATACATTTACTTAATGCTTAAAATGTAAATAAATCATTACATTTTTTTTAGTGCACATGACTTTGTTACTTATCAGCTACATGACAAAACAGTAAACAGGAAAAATATGATGCAACTTCTATTTCCAGAAGAAATATTTCGGCAATGTCCCATTAGCACACTTTACAGCAGAGAAATGCAAGATCAGGATAGCAGTTTTAGAAATATTTAACCTCCATAATGTCACATATTTCAGAGTGAAACAATGTTAATTAAGAAATAATGTAGACCCAATTTCATCCAAAAAGTGATTAAATACTGCAATGTTACTGGTTATTGTAATTTCTCCCTATAATTTTTTGATGACAAGAATTATTATTTTTTTTTTTGTAATAATGTCACTGACATCCAAGATGTTGATGAATTTGTTTCTTCATTGGAACCGATTTGGAGAAATGTATCATTCCATCACTTGCTCACCAATGGATCCTCTGCAGTGAATGGGTGCCGTCAGAATGAGAGTCCAAACAGCTGATAAAACATCACAATAATCCCAACACGACTCCAGTCCATCAATTAACATCTTGTGAAGTGAAAAGCTGCACGTTTGTAAGAAACAAATCCATCACGCATTATTTTTAACCATTGCTTCTGGATATAATACGAGTCCTCTTTCCATAATATTGCTGCAAAACAAGCAAAAAATGTCAAAAACCAATGCTAAATTTCTGATGAAGAAACAAACTCATCTACATCTTGGATGGGCTAAGAGTAGGACTGCACGATAAATCGAAATGGAATCGAGATCGCGATTCGACAGAAGCTGCGATTGTCATGCGTATCTTTCAGTGAAGCACGGTTCTGTGATCAGCAGTAAATCTCCATCCGAAGGCCAGAGGGCGTTCTCGCACTGAAACTCCAAATACGCCTCGCAGAAGAAACCCATAAAATGCCTATTGCTGCAGCTGAATAAACAGAAGATTCAACTGCTTTCATTGATTCAACGTGACTAATAAACACACGACTACAGAAATATACGGTTTATCTGAGTTCTTATTATAATTTTCATTAAAATAAAGTATATTTATAATGCAATGCCTTTATCACTGCTTAAATACTATGAAATATGTCTGCTATTTTTTTGCGTAACTTGTCAGTGAACTACGGCTACGTGTAGTAAATTCTGCTCCATCTGAAAGCACGTGATGATGATGATGATTTCTTGCTGATTACAGAACTGGCTTTTTTAACAAAATGCGCATGACAATCGCATTCGATTAATCGTGCAGCCCTAGCTGAGAGCGAGTAAAATTGCAGAAAATGTTCATTTTTAGGTGAACTACTCCTGGTATAATTAAGTAAAAGGTCAATTTTCATGCTGACTACAATGCAAATGCCATATATAAACACAAAAACTAGTTTCACAAGTGCCAAACACGGTTTCTCTCTCCCTCCATCAGCGGATCATCCCCTTCACTGACTGCTGAGGCATTACACCTGACACTGAACATAATGACTGAAACACAAGACTTACGCATTACTGCGCTCCACATCATTCATTCATGCTGACTGAACATCTCTATAGAGAGCGGGCTCGCTTCAGTGACCAAACAGCCCTAAATAAACACTCATATCACTCAAACAATAAGATAAGAAAAGACTTACAGACTAAAGATATGCCTAAAAATATGCCACAGAAATAGCAGATACATTTTTCCATTGAACTCTCTCTATGGGACTGAGCTACACCGTGTTCATTCAGACTCAATCCACCCGAGTCCTTAATAGGATCACCAAGCAAACAGGTTTTGTTGACCGGAACAAGTGTTGCCATCTCTGTTTGGCCCAAGAAAAACACTGTCCGCAGTGAGGACTTGCATGAGGGTTAATTCATATAACATGATCTTTGATAGGAACCTATAGCTTAAAACACAGAATGTCAACAATTCTGTGTTTTTCTGTCAATGTGGGGTGCTGTGTGTACATTAATGAGGGAAAAAAATGAACTTAAATGATTTTAGCAAATGGCTGCAATATAACAAAGAGTGAAAAATTTAAGGGGGTCTGAATACTTTCCGTACCCACTGTATATGTACATGAGCTAAGTGAGTAAACTGTACAGAGTGCTCATTTTTCTCTGTCAAAAGTCATTTCTTAAAAAGAGGACAGAGGGCAGCATGTTCACCCAATTCACCTTCCCCCAACTGAGTAAACAAAAAAAAGTGAAAAAGTCCCTAAATACACAGTCAGAAGAACATGGATAGTTAAACATTCATCACTAGAACTCACAGTGAACAACCACATTCCTCAATTTCAATATTTGCCAATAAGTTAATGTGAAACTTAATTTCTTAATCCATCTGAAATGTGGTGTGAGTCATTTTTCAATGCTAAAATACTTTATCTTGTCCCTGTCCATGCAGAGAAAACAAAGTAATTTATAGCTTGATTTTTTTGTACAGTGTTTTTACAATATTGACCCACCAGCTTTTGACTTAAAAGCATGCCCTGAGATTTCAAGTTCAATAATTCAACAACACGTTTGCATTTCAATGTCGTTTGACATGCAGAGAAATAATTAAATATGATATCTTTTTTTTTTTTACCCCTGCAGTTCCCTCATGAACCCCAATTCGATAAACTCCGTTTTAGGAGATGTGTGTACCAAAAATGTCCTTTTTTAACAGAAAAAAGGTTGAGAGGTCATGGTTGGGATGCGTCATAGATCTAAGGATCTAATGCGCTCACCTGGACACACAGCCTGAAGGGTGGCATGGTTGACCTTTAGTGTGCTGGTAAGATGTCTCTGAGCAGAGCCAGTGAACAACAGGAAGAACTGCACCTCCCCCTGTTCTCCTTCATCACAGAGCTGAACTGTTAGCACACACTTGCCCTGACACAGGAAAAGAGAGAATTGTGTTTCTGAATAAGAATTGAATATATTATTGGGCAAAAGCACAAACAAAATGCCAAACTGATCCAAGCTTCCACCAGTTCCAAGACCTTTTCATTGAATGACATGTTCATATTCTGCATTTTCAGCAAACTTGACCATTAATCCACAGTTTGAAAAAAACAAATGAATAATTTATACATGATTTATTAGACAGGCACTTGATGAATGTGAAAAGTTTGCAAAAAGTATACTTTCCTTGCTTTTAAATGGAACCTTTCATATATTTTTAACCCAAGAACTCAGAGTCAAACGCAATGAGAAATAACTGAAGTTGTGGTTACAACAGGATATCACACTCGTGTTGGTCTGCACAGATTGGCACAGATAGCAGTGAGAATTTAACAGCACACACCCTGATGTTCTACATGAGAAGCTCCCCTCCTCCTGTCACACTTTCACAAATTAACATCTATATAAATAATATTCAAACAACATGTTCACAGTTTTGCTCAGTGGCCAATGGAACCACCACTGCAAAAGCCATTATGAATTTTTACTGTGACTTATAAATATAAATTGTAAGACATGCAATAAATAAAGATTCTAATTAGAATCAAAATGTATTTCCTATTTAAATAGGACAATTGCGCTGGAAAATATCAAATGGAATTATGAAAAAAATAATCTATTTATTAATTTACATTTTTTCTATTTCTAAAACTTCTATTTCATTAAATTCACCAAAGAAAAAGGTATTTATAAAGTAACAAAAGGTTTCCATTTCAAATAAATGCTGTTCTTTTAAAAATGTTATTTGTCAACGAACCCTGAAAATGGATCACAGTTTCCACAAAAACATTAAGCAGTAGCTCAGCGATTTTCAACCCTGATAATAATATAATAAATGTTTCTTGTGCAGAAAACCATCATATTAGAATGATTTCTAAGACTGGAGTTATGATGCTGAAAATTCAGCTTTGCATCACATTAATAAATTCCATCTTAAAATATATTTAAATGGAAAACAGTTATTTTAAATTGTAATAATATTTCATAATAGTACTGTTTTTACTGTATTTTTGATCACATAAATACAGCCCTGGTGAGCATAAGAGACTTCTTTCAAAAACATCATTAAGTGCCATTGGGATTTAATGGTGACCTTGAAGAAATACTGTAAAAAGCACCACTTTAACATTTTGTCATGGTTAAAGAATGCAGAAACGAATGTGCCGATCTTAAGAGTTTTTTAAACTTCTAAGAACATAAATCTCCAATGAACCATGACATAATCAACTCAAGAAACCGAAAAAATAGAATTGAGAAGTAGAATGTTCTTTGCTGAACTTAAAGTGCTAGAAAGAACCATTAAAAACCTTTGGTTAATGGCAAAGTCCTTTGCGTTACAGCAACAGAAAGGATGTTTGAGTTTCGATGGAGACTGTATACGGTACGATTGACAATCAGATCAAATTGAAGAAATCTGAGCTGCATACTGACTCCTGAAATTATTTCAGGAGAGGAAAGACGTCTGTGGGAATAAAGACACAATAAGGGGTGTCACACATACATCTGTGCTCAAAACCGTCCTCTAGGACTATCACCATTGTATCCATTCATCTCAGTCCTTTGGATAATCCAATATCATTTCTGCAGTTAATTACAGACATTAACACAAAGATAAGTGTCTTTGAACCCTTGTCGGATTTCACAGCAGTGGAGGGAAAATCCCTTCTCTTTGTTGACTGTACGCCGTACGTCAGATGGGCTTCTTGTGATAGTTACCCAATACCGGTCATACATCCTTCCGGCTGCTCGACTCACTTTCTGTTCTTGTAAGGCGCTGACAGTCATATTCCCCTTCGGGATCTAGATTAGCCGTATTCCCTAGGAAGCATTCAATCAGGGCTCACCGTTATCCTGAATGAGAATTTTATTGATGTTTCAAGATCGATTGATAGGACTGCAGACTTTGAGCAGACTGGCGACGAAGCCAAATTGTTTTTAACTGGGTTCTGCTTATATTATTGCAGAAAATGTACGTGTTAGAATACTTTCTTGTATTTCAGCTTTATGTGCAGAGACAACTTTAAGCGAGACATCTGTTAATTGATCTGTTTGTTCTATTTATTTGAGCGTCTTGATTTCTTACATTTTATCTGTCAATCGTACCATAGGACATCCTTGTGGTCCATGTGGTTCACCATTGCATAAATTAAAAAGCCAAAATGTGCTTTTTACTGTTTTGTCTTTTGCTTTTCAAAGAAAAAAAATCTATTACAAAACAACGATTTAAAAATATTTAACACTGAACATTTTTAACATTCTAGCAGACACTATACAAACAAAGCACTTTTAACTTAAAATTAATAAGTTAGTAAAATAATAATTTTTGGCCATCAGACCATTTGTACATTTTTTACTGTACAATTAAAAGCAGCCTTGCTGAGAAGAGACTTCTTTTAAAACATTAGAAAATATTACAGATCCTAATTTAAACACTATGTGTGAAAAAAAAAATGCGTCTCCATCTATAAAAGATTTGACTGAGCAAATAAAGAGAAATGCGAGAGGGTACTTACATATAATGGGGCTTGACAAGGACTAAGTTTCATGACTCTGGACACTGAAAAGATAAAAAAAAAAAAACAGTATGTCAATGCAAATCAGATCAACCAGAATTCTGATGCTGCTTTCAGCCCAGTTATAAAAGGTTTATAACTTGATAAGTTTGAGCATGAAAATAGCCTCAGCAACTGTGGAACCAATTCAAATTAGCACCTCTACTGACAATATAACTGCTGTTTGATAAACGGCACTTCAGACCTAAAAGATATTCATGCGTGTGACTCACACCTTCAGTCTCAGTGAGTGCAAGACACGCTAAAATCCACTGCTAACTCACAGGCCTGTAATTAGCAGAAAAGTGATGCATTTAAATGTTTAAGGGAAGAATAAGTTCATGGGTGAATCTCACGAAACATGACAAAATGATGGTCATATTTCACTCCAAAAACCAAAAGAAAGAGACAGGACATTATATTAGGAAAATGTTGAATTACAAAAACATTACGTTAATCATAAGCTGGTATGGAAGTGTGCTTAATTTACATGAAAATAATGTTACAATAAATGAAAAGAAATCTTGGTCCTAAAAGTAGGCTTAATTTTCTCCATGCAGAATATCTTTTAGTTTTTGGACATTTTTAAGCAGCTTCAAATTCTTTAATTAACAAACAGTCTTACATGCAACCCATCGGCCATTCATTCTTTCATTGGTTAAAACAGTGCTGCGATATTGAAGGTGAAAGGTGAAAGGATTAGACAGCTAATAATACCCATCCTAATCCTATTCTCCTGCACTTAGTTTGATCGACCTTCCCTCTTCACACAATCTTCATATTTTATCTTTAATATCTGATTTTGCAATGCAAATTACTTTGTTTTCAACATACTTCTCTTGTTTTCGAAGAGAAAACATATCAGCACTTTACTTGAGAGGCGTAATTGTGTAAGATCAGTTGTTTTCAGAAAATACACCTTTACCAAATTTGCGCATTTAATTATTTTTATTTTTTTTTTTCTAACACATTTTTGTAAGGTTTATCCTAAAAACAAGAAAAAAAAATTTGCCAATGCATAAGAAATTTCATTTAAGAACACATTAGTTTTGCTTCTAAACTAAATGCCTCTTGCTTTAAGTCCAAATAGATAAGTAGACATTTTACTTAAAAACAAGACAATGGGTCTCATTAACCATTCATATTTACTCAAATATAATAATCATATTAACTGGAACATTGAAACAAGCATTTTCTATAGCTGCTTTGAAACAATATGCATTGTTAAAAGCACTGTAGAAATTAACTTGAATGCAAATGAATATGCACACATTAGCATGCAAAATCTAGGTATTTTTCACACACAATTTAAGATTTATCCATAACTTACATACTAGAATACATTGTAAATTCAGAAAAATGTAAAACATGCGCAAAAAAAAAACGAAAAAAAAAAACTGTGGAACAAAAATGGGAGGGGTGGATACTTCATCTTAAAATATATATTATCTTATATCTAATGTGTATGTGTGTGCTGTGCATGATCAAATACGCCATTCTTATCCATAGAGAATGAGAGCGAAACACCTGGCTGAACCTGAATGCAGTAATGACCAGTGAAACTGCCTTTAAGTTGTCTAAGATTTCAATTAAATTCACCTGCTGTAAGATGATATATACATAATCTTATACTATAAATACTTGGCGATGCATGAGTTCATCTACATCAAAGGAGAAACATGGCTTCCCACCTTGAGGGGTGGCTTAATTCCTTTCATAATGTTCTATTGCACAAAGAGCAATGACATGCAGCAACAATTTAAAAGGGGAAGTTGTATCATCACACACAGGCAATGAAACACTGCTGATGTGACAAGAGCAAATATCAAATATAGATTTCCTCCCAGCTGAAATGGTTAAGGAAACCTCTTTCTCTGACACCTGCATATTCATAATGAACAATACTGACTTCATAAGGACGGAAGGAAATAAGCAGACCTGGAGACAAACTTGAGTTTTATCCTACAGGATGGGCATTATATACACTGAGGCAAAGCTGTTATTAATTCATTATTAATTATTTTCAACATTGATAATAAGGAGAAATGTTTCTTTAGTAGCAAATCAGCATATTAGAATGATTTCTAAAGGATCATGTGACACTGAAGACTGGAGTAATGGTGATAAATTCAGCTTTGCATCACAGGAATAAATTACATTTTAAAATAAATGAAAATAGAAAATAATTACAATTGTAATCACATTATTTCAAAATGTATTGCAAAAGGATAGGAGTTCAATCTCAAGTTTGAGCAATAGAGAATTACTGAAAAACCTACCAGAATGTTTGACCCTCAAGCAAAGCATGATGATCCATGAGGACCCTGCAATTAATGTCTTTAAGGCCTTTTCGAATTACATGCATCTGCAAAATGACAAATTATAATAATTCGATCTGACCTAATAATCAGGGCAGCTTATCTGAATTAGGAGATAATTATTATGTCAAGTCTCTGAATGGAGGCCTAAGAGGATTATGAGGGCTTTGGGTTTAGGTAAAGCTCAGTGATCTGCAATTTCCTATGGACTTTTGTGCGGCAAAATACAGCACAGTCAATGTTTTAAACAGGCAATAACATGTGCTAGCCTTGGTAGAGTAGAAATAATCAGCGCTGCTTTAGTGCCTCAGGTGTGAAGATTTAATAAGCGGAAGTCTAAAATGTTGCTAGCAGCTGCTATTGTTTTGGTTTTTCATCTTTTTTGCCTCCAAGTGATATAACAAACTCTATATTAAAATGTATTTCCATATCAAATACGCCTGTCTTTTTTAAACAAAGCAGAGTAATTATGCACACACTACGAGTAATTTCATACAAAAGACCACAATATACATGTATATGAGTTGATAGATAGTAAGATAGTTGAATATGAATGATTATAAACCCTAGTGGTTTATGGTATATGATATAATATGACAGTTGTTCTCAGTGAGTGGGCGGCACCCCAAAAATGAGCCTCGAGTTTGATCTGACAACAGGAAAAACAATGCAAAATTCATATAATGAAACAGAGCAATAAAGAGATTCTGCTATAACACTATGTGCTACTATAGCATGTTATACACATTGCAGGTTTAATAAAGGAGAGAGAAGGGGGGGGGACCTACTCAAACAAGGAAGTATGTTGTATTAATAATGATGCATTTAAATATTTTTTTTACAAAACCAAATTTAAAGTTTTCATTTAGTCGAAAAACAAAGGCAAAACTTAAAATAAAGTTTAAAATGTAATTAAAATTTAGGTAAGTGGGTGATTAAACTATTTATTGTTGAGGGTGCTGTGTTATTAAAGGAATAGTTCATCCATAAAATGCAAATTTGCTGAAAATATACTCACTCTAAGGCTATCCAAGATGTAAATGAATTTGTTTTTCATCAGAGCAAATTTTGAGAAATTTAGCATTGCATCACTTGCTCACCAATGGATCCTCTGCAGTGAATGGGTGCCGTCAGAATGAGAGTCCAAACTGCTGATAAAAACATCACATTCACACGACTCCAGTCCATCTACTGACATCTTGTGAAGTGAAAAGCCGTGTGTTTGTAAGAAACAAATCCTTTATAAAGGTGTTTTAAGCATCCATAACATTTCTTCAAGTGGAAAAAGTCCACCCCTCGTTGTCCTCTCATGCACAGCAGTATTTGTTTCAAACCGTTTTGGACTGTTGATTTGCTTGTAGATGTGCATTTCTCTCTCCTGATTCTGAAAAGACTACTTTTTCACTGGAGAAAGCAATTTTATAGATAGACTTGTGGATGGATGCAATGGTTTAAAGTTAAAAACATCTTAATGATGTAATTGTTTCTTACAAGCATGCAGCTTTTGGCTCCACAGGATGTCTTGTGGATTATTGTGGTGATTTTATCAGCTGTTTGCATTCTCATTTTGACGGCACCCATTCACTGTAGAGGATCCATTGGCTAAATTTCACCAAATCTGTTTAAATGAAGAAACAAATTCTTCTAAGTTGGCCATACCACCCACTCCTAGTATGAATAGCCAAATAAACAGGTTTAGAATACGGGTAGGGCAGTATTTTTGTGGGTTTCAGGCATTATTCAGAATTGCTAAGGAAGCACGGAAACATACACCATATGATCAAGTTCAATGTGGTCGCTTGCCAATTGTGTGAGAAAAACTTGATCGTACTATATTGAAAACGGCACAGCATCAACTAAATACCTCTGTTTTTGTTGTGGTGTGACGGTTTTCAAGCACATGGAACAGCAACACTCAATAGTGACATCTGATACTGGTGTCCCTCACTGACACCTGATCATGACAATACTAAACCCACTTTGTTTTTACATGCGAGAAAAGACTTGGCAAGATCAGCCTGTATAAACACGTTTGGTTTAAATACATATAGCTAAACTGACTGAGTTAAATATATGAGTGTCACAGCAAAGGGTCTGAATACTTAGGACCATGTGATATTTCAGTTTTTCTTTTTTAATAAATCTGTAAAAATGTCAACAATTCTGTGTTTTTCTGTCAATATGGGGTGCTGTGTGTACATTATTGAGGAAAAAAAATTAACTTAAATGATTTTAGCAAATGGCTGCAATATAACAAAGAGTGAAAAATTTAAGCGGGTCTGAATACTTTCCATACCCACTGTATACTGAAAGTGCCAAGAAGAAATAACAAACAGAAATTGTAGTCCATTGACATGAGTATCAAGATTTCATGAATATCATAATTGCAATATAACGTCAACAATAAACCTGAGTCATTAAGAATGAAATCTTATAAATTGTCCTTCTGGGTGTGGAAACTGGGTGTTATTAAATGTCATTTGAGACATAAAGCTTGTTTTATTACTCTGACCTAAGACCACACCTTCTGATCAATGCACGTTTTGAAGTGGTTCCTGATCTACTGCAGTTCAAAAGCTGTGGAGAATTCGTAACTGTTTGTATGTAGTTCTCCAGAGAGCCACATTAGTAATGCTTGAGTGACTCTGTCTGTGTGTGTGTGTGTGTGTGTGTGTGTTTTTGGGGGGAGGGTCACAGCTGAAAGGTGTGGAGGCGGAGCTCGATGTTTAACCACTTGGTTTGTTTGAATTTCCTTAGCAACAATTATTGACACTTCAAAGCATGAGGGCCACTGTTCTATCCAAGACCATGAGATAAATGTTACAGCTGGAAAACCGCAGCACATTTATCAACATACCCATTGAAAACCATCCGTTTAATCAAGATCTCTACCTGCCAAGACAAGCAGCACTTTTATTCCTCAAACACTACTATTCAAATGCTTTGGGTCAGCAAGATTTTTTTTTATAGAAATGTATATTTATTCAGCAAGGACACATTAAATTGTGACAGTGAAGACATTTATATTTATATAGCAAAAAATTATGTTCTTTCAACTTTCTATTTATCAAAGGATCCTAAAAAATTATTAGAGTTTATTAGAATTATTAGTATATTAAAATGATTTACAAAGGATCATGTGACACTGCAACGCTACAGTATCTCCAGTGGTGTAATGTAACAAAGTAATAATACTTTGTTACAGTAAAAATAAAGCTGCTTCATGATGCCATAGAAGAACCTTTTTGTCTAAAGGGTTCCATAAAGAACCTTTAACATCTGAAGAACCTTTCTGTTTCACAAAAGGTTCTTTGTGGCGAAAGAAGGTTCTTCAGATTATAAAAAGGTAAGAAAGAGATTGTTCTTTAAAGAACCTTTGACTGAATGGTTCTTTGTGGAACCAAAAATGGTTCTTCTATGGCATCGCTTGAAGAACCTTTTGAAGCACCTTTATTTTTAAGAGTGTACTTAAGTATTTTTTGGGAGTATCTGCACTTTACTTGAGTTTTTATATTTCTGCCAACTTTTACTTTTACTCCACTACATTTCCTAATTAAAATGTATACTTTTACTCCGATACATTTCCCCAAAGCATATTCGTTACTTACTACAAAATAGTCAGAAGTCAGAAGAACACGGACTGCAGGAAATCAGGTTTGACAAATCAGTGGTCTGGTTAGATGACGGTGTTTACTTATTGAATGAATCAACTTTTTGAACGAATCGGTTGAGTAAATGACTCAGTGATTCACTCATTAACACAGTCGAATGATTTGTTTCTAAAAGAATCAGTCGTTTGAATGAATCGGTTGAATCTCAATGACTCACTCATTAACAGTCACTTGCTGTCACCTACTGGCAGTTTTAATTTCACATTTCGACTATTTTTTTCATGTTTTTAATCATTTCAAATATCAGTATTCACCGTTTTATGTTAAAAACAAAACATTAGGCCTATTTATGCATCTGTAACTGCAGGTTAAATGCATCCATGTCCCCTCTGAGATACATTAAACTGTGTAAATGCATCTAAATGCTATTTCAGATGCAGATTCCAGAAATGTTTTCTTATGTTGGAATGAATGACACTAAGTACCGGATGAAGTGCTTCTTATTCTAACCCAAAAAATGCAAAAATGGAAGAAAGAGTTCAAACTAAACACAATCTTGCTACTCAAGCGGTGTGTGAATTTTTATATATATGTATGTGTATATATATATATATTTATTTATTTGCTTCTTTTCCATTTTGCATTTACTTGTATTTTTACTTTCAATACTTAAGAATGTTTAAGTACTTTTTGTACTTAAGTACAATAAATATCACATACTTTAAGACTTTTACTCAAGTAATATTCTAAACTGTGACTTCATCTTCTACCAAAGCCATTTTCTGGTAAGATATCTGTACTTTTACTTGAGTATGGCTTTCAGGTACTTTATACACCACTGAGTATCTCACAACCAATCCGTACATATTTTACGAAGTGGCTGATTCATATGAATTTCGTATGACCGCACTCGTACGATTTCATACCATTTGTCTAGACCCCAGTGAAGGGTAGGTTTAGGGGCGCGTTTAGGTGTAGGTCAATCGTACAAATTCATACGAATTGTGCAAATCGTAATATACCTACAATTTAGCAAAAATTGTATGAAGTCAGGTTGTACAAATTAGCCACTTTGTAAAATATGTACGAAATGCAATAAAATCGGTTTGCACACTTAAGATTGGAGTAACGATGCTGAAAATTCAGCTTTGCGTCACAGGAATAAATTACATTTAAAAATATATTCATATAGAAAACAGCTATTTTAAATTATAATAATATCTATCTATTTTTTCTGTATTTTGATTAAATAAATGCAGCCTTCGACTTTAAAAATAAAGGTTCCAAAAGGGAGTTTTTGCAGAGATGCCATAAAAAAAAACAATGTATAAACTTTGTCAGACAAAGTTTGATTAGATGATAAAAGTACAAATTCATTATTCAGCACATGATTCGAGTCAGAAACAATGCTATTAGCCAGCCTTATAAGAAAGCTTGTATACCTTTAAGAGGCTGCCCTCAATCTTTGAGCAAATTTTTATTTGTTTTTAACCTAACAGACAAACTCATGATCACAGACACGAAGAACAGTATTTTCAGCACCCAAAAGAACCTTTCAGCAAACAGTTCCTAAAAGAACAATGTTAAATAACATTTTAATAATCTAAATACCCCTTTTCCACTATAAAGAACCCTTTGTGCAAAGGAAAGTTTCCACAAATATATTAAAGATTATTCACGGAACCATAGCAGCCAATAAAGATACTTTATTTTTAATAATCTCTTTAAAAAACATTGAAAAATCTTACCGACCCCAAACATTTGAACGGTAATGTATAATGCACCAGTTCCAGCTTGAGGTTCACTCAGGCTCCCTCCTGTAGGTACAGCTTTACACTGCATGTGACATATGACTGTATGATGTAACTTTAAACTCGAAACACATTTAAACTACTGAAAGGCACCTTTAAAAGAAATTCTAAATTCACTGTCTGCTGCCAATCAAACTGCTAAATTTGCTCTTTAATTGGCTCAGAACTCACGCCACAGGTTTTTAATACATACATTTCATTTGCATTTCTCCTCACATTTGAACAAACTCCTCGGATGACATCTTACCTCAGATCTTGAGAACTCCAAGCTGAGTCCAGCAGAGCTCAAAGATCCATTACTTCAGCAGATTACGTGAATCAAACGAACCAAAAAGCACACCTGAATCTTCATGCATCTCCAGTGCATGGCAGGTTAGGTCACAGCGCTGATTACTGTGAGCTAAATGCGGCTTTGTGTTTGGCAGCAGATAAGAGCCGTGTGATGTCATGGGTGGGGGAGGACGAGGAGGCCGTGGCTTAGGTGTCTGTTTCCAAGAGCACTTGAGTAACAGAGGCCACTGCTGCTCGCTGTGCCGCCTGATGCCTGTCTGGTTAATGTTCTCCTACCTGACGCTCTCAAAACCTGCTGTTAGGTCCTGCTGTTTTACTCCCTCAGGGAACGGTAACACTATTTATGGGTCAACATTTACCTGTATTGCCTTACTGACATCACATTTTAATAACTGAAGGAGGAAACCCTGGCAAGAAACACTAAAAACAACAAACATAATCAATAATAAAAATCGATTGGCCAGTCCACCAGAGATTGAGAAACTTCAAGGAAAAGTTTTTGCACTAGTGGTTTGACGTCCAATTAAAGCAATTAATTTTCTCATGAGCCAATTAATTAAATAACTAAATAAACTTCCATCTAGAGGTAAGCCTAAGTTTCAGATATAGCTGGGTTAAACCGCATTATTTTTCAGATAAAAGATGAAAATAAGAATGAAACACAAAAGAAAACCCCGATTAAACTTAAATTATGCATACAGTGGCTATAGCCATTTAATAAATAAACTAAATAACTTGACATTTACAGCTTCGATATTACTGTGCTTTTAAACAGCATTAAACACTTTGTGTGTGATAACTTTAGGCTTTTATTGTGGATTTAAAAATCTCACAATTTTAGGTCCTAAAGACAGAAGTAAGAATAAAACGCAAAGAAAAAAAGCATTCAAAAATCTGCAATTTTCTGAATATATATATTTTTTTGTATGAAAACTCGCTGTGATTAAATACTAGGCTTTGTGCACCTGCTGACTTGACTTGAGTCAAATTTCATTTCCAAAACTGATAAGCCAGTAGCCTACACATGTGGAAATATAAAACATGTTTTGTTGTTTGCCCTGTTAAAAGCACGTCCATAATAATACATGTCGGGTGAATCCAGAAAGTTCAACTTTAACTAAAGCTGTCAAGCATCCACACGACTTTATATTTCTCCAAGTATGCATGAAATAAACCACTTACCTCTTAACTAAACACGTCTACCGCCGTGTTTTGCCTTTAGGACGCATCAGGATGCTAATAAACCGGAAACCATGTTTCATGATACTCTCTGAGGAAACATTAACCGTGATCTTTAACCAGTGGGAGGCAAAGGCTGATCACCAAAAACACTTTGCTATCAGTTTGTTTGCTTCTTCCAAGCGGACATCGAGACGCACTGAAAAGCATAATCATTTATATGTATTACTTATAAGGAATAGCACCTGACAGTCAAATAGAAATCCGCTCCAGTAATCTCTATAAAATGATCACACAAAACACTTTATTCTGTAATCGCAATCGACTGTGATTGGTCCATCTCGATCAGCGATGAGAAAATTATCAGGAGACATCGGTGCGATGATAATAATTTACACCTGAGTTGTGAGACTGAGAAACGCTGCTATGCAGTGAAACTGAAAATACCCAGTAAATAAATCAAAGGTAAAAAAAATAATTATTTATACCAATCGTACCTTGCCTAATCGCAGACAAGCTCCTTGCCGTCTAAGCCACGCCCATCTGAATTCGTTCGTGAATAAAAGGAAACATCAGTTTGATGTGCGTCTCTACTATAAAGACGTTTCAGGAGTTTGGTGTCTAAATTAGGATCATATTATTGATTATTTTGCCTTATGCACTCACAGTATACTTTTTTGTTTGAGGATGTTAACAGCTGAATGTTTTCAATAGGATTTGTAATCAGCAGGTGTTTTATAGTTTGTTGTGCTGCCCCCTAGCGATAGATAAATAGACTGCATATCAAAAACTCATCAAGTCAAGTCAAGTCTGCTTTATTGTCAATTCTTCCACTTGTACAGCACACACACACAGAGAAAATTGAAATTGCGTTACTCTCAGACCCTTGGTGCATACAGATAACACTAGCAGTAGAAAATAATTATATTCAAAATGATTATATATATATTAATTCTGATAATGTGAATAAAGTGGCCCAGCATAGTGGTGTTCAAACTTGGGAACCCATAAGGGGCTTGTAGGGAGTCCGTGAAAAATATTAATTCATTCATTCATTTTAAGGCTGCCAAAGTTAAAGTGTGCCCTTAAGATATTATTAAAATACATTTATCGTAATTATGTTTTTGTTTCCATTCACTAAATGTAATTATTTCATTCTCCTTTCTGCTCAGAAATCAATACATTCATTCATTTTCTTATTATTTGTTCTTTTTTTTAAATATTCTTCTATGTTTTTCTACTTTTCTTATTTTAAAAAACTCCTGACTTTTTTTTTCTGTGAAAAATATGAATTAATCCCATGTACTTTTTGAACTTTTAATAGGTTTTTTTTTTCTTTAAATGTAACTTTTAATTAAAAACAAATCTTTTCCAAATAATATTTGAACAAGTTTAGTAAAATGACAATGTAAAAGCTAAATACTGTATGTTATATTTATTTTTGAAAACATTTTTTTACTTAGTTAATAATATTACATTTAATATTAATATTAATATTGTATAAATTAATTTTCACACATTCAAATATACAGCTATCAACAGTGTCCCCAAAAGGGATCATTATATCCAGGATCCTTAAAAGGTTTATAAAAACATATCCAAGATATCTTCCACTAAAACAATGAGAGTCTAGATGAAAAGTTAAGTGTGAAACGGTCTAAAAGTGCTTCCGTCTGACACTATTAACCCTTTAAAAACAAATAACATTTCCAAAACATACTATTATTCAATTTCTATAGTGAGGCATTGCTTGTGTGCATTGTGAATGGAAGTTCAGGGGTCTCTGAATAATGAGCTCCATGATCCTTAATGAACTGTCTCCAGTGTGTTCAGAAAGCCCCGGTGACCCCTCTCTCCCCCCAGCAGAGTTCTGGTGTTAGATCAATAAGGAAACTCTTCTCTCTGTGTTACACTTACCCTTCAGCGCATTTGCAATAGCCAGAGTAGAGGGAAACGTGAAGTGAATTTCAATATCCCGTCTGCAGTCCGTCGCTCCCAGTCTGCCACCAATCAAGAGAGATGGGAAACAAGCTTGACACAATGAAGTACATTGCCGGCTTTGTCCCGTCACAAAAGCTGTTTTGTCCATTGAAGGACTTGCTGGAGGAGGAAAGTAGCGGTGGCAGGGTGGGCTGTCAGACTCGGCCAGCTTTGTCAAAGTTGATTCATGTAGAGTTGGGAAGTTTTATGGTTGTTAGTGATGTTGTTGTTGTGTTTTCCATTTTATTATGCATTTAAGTACTGCTACTGTTGAAGATTTTAAAAGACCTTTATGGTAATAAATGATTCAAAGGTTTCAGCTAAACAAATTTAATGTAAGCTGTAGAATATCATTTTTAGGAAAAAGTGCCATTTTTTTCCACATTCACTCACTAGTACTGATATAATTAACGATAGTGTAAGGAGGATATTGAACTTATTTTAATATGACTTATTTTTGAGTCTGTTTTGTGTGTAATGCAAAAAGAAATGTTAAAGTAAAACATGTCTTATTGGAATTTGTTGTTGTTGTTGTCATTTATTTCTGCTCAATATCAATATTTTGTGATTTTCCTCTCTTTTGAAAATAATGCTTTGATGTTTCTGACATCATGTTTAAAGGTGTGTACATTATTTTTATTAATGAATTTATTCCAAATACACTACCGTTCAAACGTTTGGGGTTGGTCAAATTGAAGGACGTCTCTTATGCTAACCAAGGCATCTTTGCTCAAAAACATAAAAATAGTAATATTGTAAAATATTATTACGGTTTAAAATAACTCTTTTTTTTTTTTAATATATTTTGAAAATTTCATTTATTTTAATGAAGGCTGAATTAATTTTCAGCATCATTACTCCAGGCTTCAGAAATCCTTCAGAAATCATCCTAATATGCTGATTTGCTGCTGTTGAAAACTGTCGGGCTGTTTAATATTAAAAAATTTTTTATTTATATTAATATATTTTTTCATTGTAATATAAGTATTAAAAACGATAGGTTGTAAAATGCCAAATATTTAATAAAAAATAAGCTAATGTTCCATTCCTTAGTTGCTCCTGTCTTTCCACGAAGAAACACTAGATGGCGACTTCCTCTTTCACTGTGGAGCAGATTTGAGGATGAAGTCAATTTTAAAAAGCTTAATTTCTCTGAAGAACAGATAGGCCTACAAAATAAAAATGTCAGTCAGTGTATTCTCAATGTAAGGTTTTAAAACCTTTACATAACTGCAATTATTTATCATTAAGCAAGCATTATCTAGAGCAGGGGTGCCCAAACTCGGTCCTGGAGGGCCGGTGTCCTGCAGAGTTTAGCTCCAACTTGCCTCAACACACCTGCCGGGAAGTTTCTAGCATGCCTAGTAAGAGCTTGATTAGCTGGTTCAGGCGTGTTTGATTAGGGTTGGAGCTAAACTCTGCAGGACACCGGCCCTCCAGGACCGAGTTTGGACACCTCTGATCTAAAGAAATCAAGTAGCCTTGGGTTCATCACTTGAGGCTCGCATGTCTGTCAGTCAGGTGACTGGAACTGCGGTCACGCTCCAATCAGCTTCGACGGTTTTGTTTGGGCCCGTTTGGTTGTGACGTTTTACAGTCTTTCCTTCAGGCCTCCGTTCCCGTAATACAGTGGGATTACACTCGCAGACCTGGAAAACAAGCTCGACAGAGGAAGACTGACCGAGTATGACACCAACACAAACAATCCTTCAATAGAAGATACTTTCCCTTACTTACATATTGTCATTTACAGGCAGCTGATCCCAGTTAATTATTCAGAATCAGAAGAGCTTTATTACCAAGTATGTATACACACAAAAGGAATTTGACTTTACGACAGGAGCTTCCAGTGCAGAAGAAAGTACATTCATAGTGCACACATACAGTACATAGGAATAACACAGTAGGGATAGAATATAACAGTAATATAAGAAAAAAAACTGAAAGTAAATGTACTATATACAGAAATAGAAGTATAGGGGAAAAATTTAAATGTTTAGATACATGTACACTGCAAAAAATAAGTGTAATTTTAACTGTAAAATGTTGTAAAAACGCTACGGGAAAAAACTGTTAATAGGTTAACAGTAAGTTCCCGTACTATATACACAGGGAAAAACTGTAAAATATCTAACCAGACATTTCATGTAATTTTACAGTAAAATGCTGTTAATTTTACAGTTTTTAGAAGTAAAAATAACAGATCAATGTATAATTTACAGTCAAAAACTGTAAACTGATATTCCCAGAATTCCCTGCATGACACTCAACATTTGAAAGTATTTTGTTTAAATAATCATGTTTTTTTAATAGTTTTTGTTATTAGTTATGTATATTTGGGCTTTATGTTACATCTTCTGTTGTTTAATGAAAGTTTAATGCATTATTTAAGTATCATGTGTGTTACCATGATGGTGTTTTGTGTTTGCATGAATGACTCTGTGCACCTTCTATATATTAGTATATACTTCTGCTTGTGGTGAAGCTACTTGTGATGAGCTCTGATTCTTCATGTGGCTTTCTCTTTTACCACCTGCATTATTATGGTGGTTGTCAGTATGTGAAAGGTACAAATACAGATTATAATAGCAGTGTGCATTGTTGAATTTACTGGTTTACATTCAAATTTTATTTAAGTATCATGTGTGTTACCATGATGGTGTTTTGTGTTTGCATGAATGACTCTGTGCACCTTCTATATATTAGTATATACTTCTGCTTGTGGTGAAGCTACTTGTGATGAGCTCTGATTCTTCATGTGGCTTTCTCTTTTACCACCTGCATTATTATGGTGGTTGTCAGTATGTTAAAGGTACAAATACAGTTTATAATAGCAGTGTGCATTGTTGAATTTACTGGTTTACATTCAAATTTTCTTGTTTGTAAATTACAGTTTTATACTGTAAAATGTACAGTTTTTGGCCGTAAATGTTTTTACAGTTTTTCTGTATTTTTTACAAAATTATTCTGGCAACCACAGCTGCCAAAATTATTTTGTAAAAAATACAGAATTTCTTTTTACGGTGTACAGATATGTTATAAGTGTGCAGATATGTTATTTACAAAGTGTGCTGTTTACAAGTGTACAAATTT